CAACATTATGGGGGCATTATGAGGGGAGCAAAAAATACATGGTCATTAACATCATTGGCTATCTTTGTGTATCATTAGCAATATGACATTTTGTGCCATTTGGATATTTGTACAACATTATGGGGGCATTATGAGGGGAGCAAAAAATACATGGTCATTAACATCATTGGCTATCTTTGTGTATCTTTTTTTTGCTAATAATTCTTAATAGATTTTTTTTACTGACACTATTGCTAAAGAACCTCCTTCAAAAAATAAATATTGCTGCCAGGCATTGGTGGCTCATGCCTGTAATCCTAGCTAGTCAGAAGACTGAGTGAGATCCACAGGATGGTAATTTGAAGCCATGTGAGGCAGAAAAGTCCGAGACACTCCCAATCAAAATAACAAACAAAGCTGGGCGCCAGTGGTTCACTCCTGTAATTCTAGCTACTGAGGAGGCTGAGATCTGAGGATCATGGTTTGAAGCCAGCGCAGGCAGAAAAGTCCCTATGAGACTCTTATCTCCAATTAACCATTCAAAAACTAGAAGTAGGCCCTCTAGCTCAAGTGGTAGAGCACTAGCCTTGAGCACAAAGAGGCTGAAGGAGAGTGCCCAGGCTCTGAGTTCAAGCCCTACAGCCAACAAAAAATAAAATAAAGTAAAATAATGAACAAAAAGCTGTCAAGCAAGTACAGGCCTTGAGTTCAAACCTCCATACTGGCAAAAAGTAAAAAAAAGAAAATACTGCCAACACAGTTCATTGCCATTTTGAGCATATAACAGAGGGTCTATTTTCTGCATTCATTAAGTACCAACTATGTGCTAGGCTCCATGAGCGGTGTTAGAAAGACAAAGAAGAACAAGACTCAGCACCTGACCCTTTCCAAAAAAAGAAACTGAACACACACACACACACACACACACACACACACACACACACACACACGTCATGATAAAAAGAAAGTTGATTAAAGAACTGAAAAATGTTTGAGGCCCCAAAGTAGAAAGATCATAGTCTGAGGCAATTGAAATTGTATCTGAAAAACAAATTAAAGCAAAAAGGGCTAGGGGTGTGTTAGATCAAATTCAACTCATTACTAACACAAAAAGTCAAGTACTACTATTCTTTAACTAATTTTTCTATAACATTATAATGAATTGTGATGTCTTTATATTTAATCTATTCTAAAAAGAACGTGTGTTTTAAACAGCTTGCTTTTTTTCAGGATGGAGCCTGTGGTAGGTAGAACAATGGCCATCCTGGTCTTGAAGTCAGGGCCTGAGCTTTCTCACTCATAGCTAGCCCTCTACCACTTGAGCCACAGCTCTACTTCTGGCTTTTTGATGGTTAATTGGAGATAAAGAGTCTTATGGACTTTACTGCTTGAACCAACATCCCCAGATCTCAGCCTTCTGAGTAGCATGGATTACAAGAATGAGCAACCAGTGCCTGGCTCACCCAAAGATTTTGACATTCTATTCTCCAGAGTCTATATATTACTACACAAAAGGTCCTCATGGATGGATTTACAGTTATCTAGGTAGGTGCAGGTCAATCACAAAAGCCCTTAAGAGCAGACAGGAGTACAAAAGAGGCAGAGAGGTACAACAGAAGCACAGCAAAGGGCTTTTCCTGCTGATGCTGGTTTCAAAGATAGAGGAGGCCACAAGCCAGGGAAGTGGGTGGCTTCCTATAAGCTAGGCACAATTTCAAGTAGACAGACAGAAAGGACATGAGACCTTAGTTCTGCAGGGAGGTGAATTCTCCTAACAACTTAAACAAACCTGCAAGTGGCTTTCCTCTCCAGAACCCAGCCCTACCCACACTTGGAGAAGCCTGCTGAGCTGAACACTTCTGACCTGCTGAACTCTCAGACAGCCATGAGCTTTGTGGTACTTTCTTACCTTAGCCCTCCAAACTAAAAGAGAACAAATAAATGATGTGACTTGACTGACACTTTTTCTTTAATGTCATGAACCTAATATCAGTGCTTGTAACAAAGTGGTTAAAACTAGGAGTTAAGTCTCTGAAGGTGCTACATTAGTAATTTCCTTTCCCTTAAAACTTTTCTCAGAGCTCCACCATATCTAGCCCAGGACTACTTCTTGTCTTATACACAAATGACCTGGAGAAATTGCAAGATAAATGAAGAGAGGTAGACACACACAGAGAGAGAGACAGAAAGACAGAAAGAGAAAGAGAGAGAGAAAGGAAAGAAAGAAAGAAAAAAAGAAAGAAAGAAAGAAAGAAAGAAAGAGAAAGAAAGAGAGAAAGAGAGAGAGAGAGAAAGAGAGAAAGAAAGAAAGAAAGAGAGAAAGAAAGAAAGAAGAAGGAAAGAAAAGGCAAAGAAAATTTGAGACTCTGCTTTGGCATGATGGGTTAAAGTGTGAGTCTATATTTCTGGAAAATTCTCTATTGGGCCATCAAGACATTCTGAGTAAATAGGATGGGTCTGGGATCCTTCTTCTCTTGGCACAATGTCTCTAAGTCCAATCTCTTTGGGACAGAGATTTGTCTATCTTGTTGCAGGCACATTCCTAAAAAATGATAGAAGGTATGATATATAAAAGATGCTCCATAAATATCTGTCAAGTTGATGAACAAGTTAAAATTTAAAGTTGCTAGAAAATAAACAAAACCAGGGAAAGGGAAATCATGGGACCAAAGGAGGCAATTGCAAGACAAAAAGGGAAAGTTGGGATGGGGAAGGGAGGTCAGATAATAGTCATCTGAGGTAAGTCATTTCATCAACTGTTTTAAATTAAAGATGTGGGTGATTGAGTATCCAATTTCAGCCAGCAGGAAGATTGGGGGAGGCCTCAGAAACAAATGAAGCCAACTTACTCACAAAGTCCTATGTCATTACAACTATAAACAGCTTCTTTCCTATGGTACACACACACACACACACACACACACACACACACACACACACACACACACACACACACACACACACACACACACACACACACACACACGATTTCCTTCCCTTCACATTCCATTAAGGTAGATCCTGTGCTGTGGGATGGTCAGGTTGATATATTAAAAGTACCCTCAAAGGGGCTTTATCAATGAGCACTTTTCTGGAAACATGAGGAAGGAAGTAAATGATGTGTCTGTATGTCCGGCCAAAAGGCATCTCAGCTGTGTCTGGTCTGGCATGAAAAGTCCTCCCCCTTTTCATGGAGTAAGAAGTCACCCCTGGGGCTGGGCAGCTTGCTTCCAGCTGGGCTTGTTTTTGTTTTGGTTGCAGTCACCAAGACCTCCTGAGAAACAAAGCAATAGCATTTTTCTGTTCTTGTTTGTTCTAATGAGTCAAAGTTGCCTGGGACACAAAGTTTGACGTCTGCCCACAATATTCTTATGCTTTTCTTCACTCAGAACCCAAAGTTCCAGCCAACAGCGCCTTTTCTGGTCCCACATGAGCTAATGGCCTGCAGCTCTGTAGCTATGATGCTGTTTACAATCTCAGACTTCTAGAACTAGTGAGGAAAAATTATCCTTGCTATAAGAAATGCTTTCCCCCATTATCTTGCGCATGTAATTGTAACCCCTCTGTACAGTATTTTCACAATAAAAAACGAACTATAAAAAAAAGAAATGCTTTTCCCCCAGATATCATGATTGCTGTTTGATGTTTTTAAGTTGACCACTTAGAAACAAAGAGGTCAAGAGAAAGGCCTAGTCTTCCTTTTCCAGTGGAAAAACAACCAATGAGACTGTCTCTGCTTATGATTTCAATTTCATATGTAATCTGGACCTCCTTCAAGGGAAACTGTCAGGGGTCAAGGTTTCATCCACAGTTATCTCCCTTGTCTTCCCATGATAGCTGAGTGCTCCCAGTCCTGCTGTTAGAGACTCCCAAGGACAAGGTCAGGCTGTGAGGATGTGGAGAGTCTGAGAAAGCTTGTTCTGCATAAGGATGTGAGTCACTACGGAGAGGAGCCTGGGGAATAGAATTGGAAGGTTGCCTGCTTTTCCCAGCCTGGCCGCCATCCTAAGGGCTTTTCGAAGGTCAGGGGAACTAACATTAAGGGCCTTTCTTCATGACTGTGAAACTGGGAAGAAGGTCAGGGAAAAGCTATGATACAGCTCCATGTTGGTGAATGGTGAGGGGTGGGGAGAGGGACATGAAGACTACAACAGAAGATATTAACAGCTCATCCAGTCTATGTAGGACCACAAATGGAGGGTCCCCCTCCTTTGGAGAGGAGGGCTATTTTAACATCACTGCTTGGAGTAAATGCCAGAGCCTTGAGAACTTTGGATCTGCTGTTCTTCAAATATTTTCATGGAAAAGTGTCAGAAAGTTCATTATTAAGTCTAATTCCAAGCAAAGTGTTTCTAGCATGTGAGATTTTACTAGATATATAATAAGATCTGCAGTAACCCAGAAAATTATTTCACTTCCTTCCTTCTGCAGGGGAGGGAGTGCAGAATCAGGAGCCGTGGGAAACAGCATGCTATTTTGATTGGTCAAGAAGCATCCAGATGAACTCTCTCCATGCTGATATCCAGCTACTCCTGTATATTTTGCTTTAGAAAATGCCAATCTTTTCATTCCCTTAGTCTCACGTGACTACCCAAAGTCCTCACTCTAGCTACTAACCTGGAAAATGGAGGTAACAGTAGGTACCTCAGAAAGTCATGGTCAAGATGATGATGAGGGAGTCTAAGTAAAGTACACACATGGAGCAAGGGCCCCCTCCATCGAAACATTTTTTTTTTTCTGCGCAAGTACTGGGGCTTGATCTCAGGACCTGGGCACTATCCCTAAGGTTTTTCACTCAAGACTGTATCACTTGAGCCACAGCTCTACTTCTGTTTTATTTTGCTGTTTAATTGGATACAATCTCATGGAGATTTCTGCCTGGGCTGACTTCAAACCACAATCCTCCGATCTCAGCCTCCTGAGTAGCTAGGATTATAGGTGTGAGCCACCAAAGTACAGAAATTTTAACATTATTTTTTTAATCATGTCTTCCCTGAAAAGAAGCATTTCTTGTGACTTACCCCTTGTAAGACTTGAAAGCTGTCATTGTTGGGCGGTGGGTCTTGATCTGGATCAACACCAACTCTAAAAGTTGCCAGAGAGAAAGACAAGGAGAAAAACAGAAAGCATTAGCTCAGTCCATGGCAGCCACGGCAGCTGAAAATCACCACCATCTTCCAAAGCAGAAGGAAAGGAAGGCCGTCATGCAGAAGTCAAATGACACACCACAGTAGATCCCTGACAGCCAGGGGTAATAGATCCTGTGTGTTCACACACTAAGCAAGGCCTCTGGGAAAACAGCACTGACTGACAACTGTCCAGATACCTTGCTGTACCAGGTGATGCAAATTACCAAAATGTAGGTCCCTCCTACTTGGCTGTGTCCTCACTTCTGTCATGACTTACTTTAATGTCCCTAACATTTTTCTGTCATGAAATTTCTTCAGATATACAGGGAAGTATTGAAGAAATCTATAGGAAACACCTATATGTCTACTGCCAAGACCTTCAACACTTATAGCACATTTTTTTTAGTCAGTCCTGGGGCTTAACTCAGAGCCTTGACACTGTCCCTGAGATATTTTGCTCAAGGCTAGCACTCTACCACTCTGCCACAGCACCACTAGTTAATTAGAGATAAGAGTCTCACATCCTTTCTTGCTTAGATTGGCTCTGAACTGAGATCCTCAGATCTCAGCCTCCTGAGTCCCTTGGATTATAGGTGTAAGCACCCACCAGCACCCTACTTTTATAGCACATTTTTCATTAGTCATCTATCCATATCTCACCATCCCTCATGCTATTTTGAGGATACATTCAAACAAAGCAACAGACATTAAGTACACATCCCTCGCTATCTAAGCATGGGTAGTGACAAGAGTCTTTCCTTGACTACACTTGATACAGGCTTCTCTAAATCTTCTTCCAAACTAGGACATGACTTCTGTCTCTGCCTGTAGGCACCACTGGATTTTAGCAAGCATGTTCCTAAATTGGTTTAGCTTGAACCTTCTATCCTTGATAGATGATTTTTCTCTCTCTGATGGGAGTTCCTTATACTCCATCATCCCCAGGCAGTGTTTGATCGATTACTCTGGACTGGCTTCAGCAAAAACACTGTTAGGTGGATTTAGCCAAACTCCCCATTACCCCTAATGTCTCCTCTTAATCATTTTCTATCTATTGATCTCTATCTCTCTCTTACACTTCCACAACCCATCAGAGCAATCCCTGTATCAATAAGGATGATCCTGAATACAGTCTGCCTTACCCTTTAATCAGTGTCACTGTCATGTGTTGGGGACCAGAGCTGCTTGTAATCCTAATGCCCCAACCCCTGCATCAACAATGACTGGGGAGCTCATATACTGGAGAACAAGAACTAGAAGAAAGAAAAGGGAAAGTGGCAATATCCATTTACAGCAAATTCCCCCAAAGTCCTGGGGCAGTTGTCTGGCTTAGTTATATGCACCTGTTGCTCTATGCACCTGTTAATCTTGTATTCCCGCATCTTCCAGTCTCTAAGGCAGAGAACTGTGACACGAACAACATGGATACCAAGGAACAATGGGGGAATATCGAAGATACCAGGGATGTCCTCACTCCAACCTGTGTTGCAAGAAATGGAAGGTGCCATAAAAGATCAAAAGACAAGGAAAAGAGACTCAAGCTTTCAGCAGATTACACTGCATTTGAATAGGAAGAGAGGTACCAAGTGAGCTTCAATGGGGATGTCTTTGCTATCTGTGTTGAATCCAATGAGCAGACACTGGACATACAAAGTCCCATGTTTCCTTCTCTTCCTCTCCTCCCACATATGACACTAGAGATCTTTTCTGAAGGAAAGAAATGGGTTTGGGAGTGTGTAGGAGACAACACAGATGTATGCAGGTACACAGCCTCTCCAAATCGAACCTCCAGTCTTTCCTAATTGACTCTTGTTCAGCATATGCCCAAGGCATGTACCCCTAAGAAGGTAGAGAAAGAAGGAAAGGGAGCACTTACTCCACAATGTTCTGGAGGTAAAGTTTTTTGTTGTTGTTGTTGTTGTGTGTGTGTGTGCTGGTATAAGGACTTGAACTCAGGACCTTGGTACTGTCCCTGAGATTTTTCCACTCAAGGCTGGCTTTCTACCACTTGAAGCACAGCTCTATTTATGACTTTTTGCTGGTTATTTGGAGATAAAAGTCTCATAGGCTTTCCTGCCTGAGCTGGTTTCTAACTTCAGTCCTCAGAATTCAGCCTCCTGAGTAGCTAGGATTACAGGCATGAGCCCAGAAGCAGAGTTTTTAACCATGAGGTGAATTCATGCATTTAGCACATATTTTCTGAGTCCCTCCTATGTTAGGCACTGGTCAGAGCATTCAGTTAAAGCCTAATGTAGGGCTGGCGCCAGATTCCCTCCCTGTGTGCTTAGCTTTGAATGGGATCTTTAGACTACACCAGCTGGACTTCACTACACCATAGATGCTATTTTTAGGCAGCAGTTTCTGACATCCACATTCCTGGACATTCTCTGAGAAAGTCTGAACAACAGATCTCACAGGGATCTTTTTTTATTTTATGTGCCAGTCCTAGGGTTTAAACTCAAGGTCTGGGTACTGTCCTTCAGCTTTTTTGCTCAAGGCTACCCTTCCACTATTTGAGCCACAGGTCCACTTCCAGCTCTTTTGGTAGTTAATTGGAGATAAGCATCTCAAAGACTTTCCTGCCTGAGCTGGCTTTGAACTGAGATCCTCAGATCTCAAGCCTCCTGAGTAACTAGGATTACAGGCATAAGCCACAGATATCTAGCATTCACAGAGATAGATCTTGTGACCTGAAAACCATCCAGTTCAGGGAAGTTCACAGACTGCCCACAAAAGTCACAAGACAGCTATGGGGCCACCCAAAGTGTGTAATGTATACAACTGGCTAGAGGAAAGGCCTCATAATGAATTCCTTGTTGCTGATTTTTTTAACCCTTAGAGGGGTTTTACCATCTCTTAATCTGTGTTCCACTCACTGTCAGACTTTGTGAGGACAATAGCCAAGAATCAAATATTAGGCCACTTCATGCCATATTAATATACTGAGGATGAGTTACCAGGTGCAAATCGTGAGGGGCAGAGCACAGTAACTACAGTAGCTCACAGCAGCCCACTGGGAGCCAAAGCCATCCCCAGCTTAGCACAGTAACTACTGAAAGCATGAAGTATAGTATGGGAAGACGATGGCACTTCAGATCTCTCACTGATAATCCCTGTGTTCTGCACTGTGAGTTTTGAAAGAGGCATATGCCTTAGTTCTTGTAAGTGGCTTCCGCATTAGTAATGATAAAACAATCTGACTTTATTAGCTCAGATGAAATAGGAGACCTACAGATAAGGGAGAAACACTTAAGGGTGTACTGCACTAAAAGGAAGAAAATAAACTCCAATACAGTTAACACATGAAATTTAGCTCCCTCTATTCTTTTCACTCATCTCTGCTAGGGGAAGAAAATCTGTTCAACAAGAATTTAAATAAATTTGGTTTAACAAGAGTTGCTTACAAATACTAGACTCAGACTGTTTTCAGTTAAGTTCTAGAAGCATCAGTGGAATCCATTCATTTATCCTAGGCCCTTGTGGACAGGCATATTTCCAAACCAAGTCAAAAACAAGAACTTTGTAAACTCATGAAATCAAGGCCACCTGAATTGCACTCCAAGCTGGTAAAGTCTGGCTCTAGGGAACACTAAGAGTAGTTCTAGATGTGCACTGTCCCAGAGACCTTTGAGAAGTGATGGCAGTGTTCTCTGCCTGAGCTGCGCAGTATGGTCCCCACAATACACATGTGGCCACTGAGTACCCAGAATGTAGCTAGTATGACTAATACACTGCAGTTTCAGTTTTGATAACTTGCAATTTAAAGTCACATGTGCCACCTGCCTCATGAATTGACCAGTGCAGATTCCAGAAAGTACTGATTTCAACAATGGCTTTCTACTGTAACCTTTTTTTCTAATAAAAAACAAGTGGCTTTAGGAAACCATGATAGGAAGAAGATGCCACCTTGTGACTATAGTTTGTAAAAGAAGTTTCTTGTTGTATATATCATCCCCCATACAGACTTGAGAAAACAGGCCTCTATGCTTTTTCTAAGTAGAATTATTTCAAAAATGGAATTATTGATGAAAAGGCCCGGATGTTGAGATACTGGAAACAATTAAAAAGCAATAACTATAAACTAATGTTGCAAATATGACTATACTAGATGTAGATAAAACATTTTATGCTGATCATTAAAAAAAGTAGAGGGGCTGGGAAGTTGGCTCAGTGGTAGAGCGCTTGCCTTGCTTGCCTGAGGCCCTGGGTTCGATTCCTCAGCACCACATAAGCAAAAAGAAAAAAGCCGGAAGTGGCGCTGTGGCTTAAGTGGTAGGGCACTAGCCTTGAGCTGAAGAGCTGAGGGACAGTGCTCAGGCCCAGAGTTCAGGCCCCACAACTGGACCAAAAAAAAAAAAAATTAAAAAAATTTAAAAAGTAGAAATTGGCTGCCATTTTTTCACATTCTCAGTGACAACCTCCAAATTCCTGCTAGAGTTCTTCAGACATACAACTTCATGTCGCATAAACATTAAGCAAAACTCTACTTGAATTGGTTACTCAATGAAGAGATTTCTTACTACGTCAACATATAAAATAAAATTTTAAATTCTCTAAAGCTCTGTACAGCGAGTGCCATCTCCTAATAGGGGAAGGAATGATTAAATTAGATAAATCTCCATTTTCCACCCCCAGTGGAATCACTCAATAAGGTTCATGAGTGAATGATTTTGTGCTTGTTGGGAATCTGACCATTCATGTGATATTAAAAGAAGTCAGGCCCAGAGAGACAAAGGATGCACATTTTCTTTTATATATGAAAGCTAGATTTAGCTTATAAACTTATAAGTAAATATTCTGTGTGGTATGCAAGTGTATACAAATGTATTAACTGAAATATGGTAGATTCAAGGGGCTATACAAATAGTGTAATTCCTTAGAAAGGCAGTCAAAGTTCAACAAAATAAACATCAGGAAGTAGGCACTTAAAAGGGGTGGAGTGGGGTCAAGGAAAAA